TTTATAGAAATGTTCTAACTTTTGGAACAATATCGTCTGATAAAGAGTACATTTATATACATGTTTGTAGCAGTAAGACAAGCCTTCTTGTTATCGGCAGGAAGTCCTCTCACTGTTTCTAGAATAAATTAGGGTTGATACAATTAATCAGATTAATCATAATTGATAGATTATTGAAATAATCATCAACTAATTGAGTAATCGATTAATCGTTAACTGAAGTATAGAGATTCTAAAACCTGCCATTAGCTGACAGAACAACAGCAATTATATAAAAATTGCACAAATATATACATTTTGCATTCAAAATAAAGAAACGTTTACGTCTGTCAATATGCTCTATCCAGAACTCCTCAAGTGGAAACCTTTTAGTTTCACCTGGTTTAGTTTAATAAAAAGTGTTCTTTAAGGAACCTTTTGCTATCCGATTATTAACGGATTAATCGAAAAAATAATCAACAGATTAATCAATTTGCAAAATAATCATTGGTTGGAGCAAAATAATAAATACCACTGCTGCCTTTTAAATTCTCTCTTACACCTTTAAGGCTCCCTTGGTTTATGACTCAAAGATCATAGGGAACAGACAGAAGAGTGTGGAGATCATTTCTTAAAAAAATAAATGAATTTAAAAAATCAATAGAACTACTATTTTATGTGCGGCAAACTAAGACATTCCTTCTCAATGCTATTATAGCAGACACTTAAAAAAAACATGCATGCTTCAGCATTAAAATATAAATCTCTTCCCTGTCTAGTAGAAATAAATTCTAGGAAAAAAAATAAAAAAATATCAACCAGGGATTTTGTGGTGTAAATTTAAGCCAGTTCATGTTGCATTTATCTAACTGGATGCAGTCACTAATTTTTCTTTCTCAGATACCTACAAGGAATCCTCTGCGGTGCTCCTGCTAATTTTCTTGATGTATCTCCCCCGTAGGACACCTGATTTAAACATCTACTGGCGCTTTTTACCTTTATTAAGCTACTGCTGCAAATCTTTAGCAACTCCTGAACTCTCTAAACAGCTTAAATCTATGTGTTATTGTCCAACGGTTGTGAACTATTGCTGTATGTTGGTAATGCTAATGTGGTTGAACTAAAAGGAAACTCTGTGTTGTTCTCTTCTCTTAAGTTCTCAATGTCCTTAAAAATCGTAATAGTACTTTAAACGTTATTTTAAAATACATTTTTGGATACTAAAATTATATATGAGTAAAAAAACAACACATAATGGTCTTGGATAAGCTTGCCCTAATGCTGCATTTTTGCTGTATAACAGTTTATTTTAGGATTATTATTAATCAGCTGTTATCCAACTTTATATCTACTTTCTTTATAACTAGGGGTGTCCCAATTCAAAATTAATATCGAATATTGGTCCGATACTAGCCAAAAAGCTAATATTGGATTATACTGGCTGCCAGGCTTTTAGCAATCAATGTGTACAACCACCCCTCCTTGAACCGCCACCTTAACGTGGTGGAGGGGTTTCAGCGCCTGAGTGATCCCAGA